TTTATACTATAAATACTGCTGCTTATGTGAGATTGCCTAAATAAAAGATATAGTACACTTAAATGAAAATGATTCCATTGCTCTCATCCTTAAATATACCACAAAGTGAACCAAAAGAACTTAATTCATTTTCCATCATATTTGGCTAATATGTCTTAATTTCATTTTCACAGATTATCAATGAAAGAATAATAACTACTTCATCTCCCACTGGGTTCACATACCACCATCACAATAATGATAATTATCATTTAATTGACAGTATGTGGCCACAATACTCTATTAAATGTAATTGTCAGGATCATGTAGGTTTTGCTATAGTAACAAATATCAGGGCCTCACTACTATAAAAATTTTTCATTTATAAAAAACTCTATGCAGCTAGTCAGGGATTTCTCTCCATTTCCTGATGTCTGCCTTCCAAGGTTTCTAGGATTGCCAAGGTAGAGCAAGAGAGAGAAGAAAGAGAGGAAGAAACACACTAACTCTTAAATGCCTCAGACTAGATGTGACACATCACTCCCCCTCACAGTCCTATGGTCCTACACTAACTCTGAATTAGGCTTCTGAAGTCATCCTGTCTTCCCAGAAAGTGAAAATAGTCAGTTGAAACAATTAGAACTGTCTTTACTAAATGAATAAAATGTTACCCTTTGAAATCCATTTCTATTTCTATGAACTTATTCTTACGTCTCCTATTTGTAAGCAGTCTCAGACTTTTATTCCAAAAGCAGGACTACTTTCTCTACATGTCACCAAGTGAATAACCATGGGGTTATGGCAAAGTTTTAAATTATAATCTGTTCCCAGAAATAGATTAGCTAACTGGCTATCATCATGTGACACTTAGCTCTACTCCAATATTTGCTCTCAGACAAGGACTCTAGGAAACTCCTTTTCTTGGGGCAGGGCTGCCATGTCCAGATTTAGAAAGGGGACGGTGTCCAGAGGTTCATTAGTCTTAACCATCCAATGGAAACAGGAATAAAGGGAAAGGTTCTAGCGGTCACTATTGTAATCGTAAAGTGTAACTTGAGGGTTCTTGTAACAATGAAAGTTTAAAAAGGCAAATGAGAAGATAGGAATGAACAAAGACAAGAATGAACAGGGACAGCAAAAGAAAAAAGTGAGCAGATGAATTGAGTTGAAAAAGAACAGAGAGAACCTCACCATCTCTAACAATACAGAAGCTTGAAGAAGACTTTTCACTCTCCTATGCCTCTTTTCTTTCTCTCTTGTCTTTTATCTTGCTTTATTTGTTCTTCTTCTCCAGCATTGGTCTTTTTCACCATTATATATAAAAATAGAATTGAACATTCTCTTGCTTTTGAAAAACTTAAAAGGATGAATTCAGTCATCAAATTTAGGAAACATACTAATCTTTGTTGAGAGAAAAAATTAATGTAAAATAAACAAAAATATTCAAGTGTCTCCCTAATTCCTCCCTCATTACTCCACCCGGACCTCCTTTCTTTCAGACATTCTCCTTGTCACCTCCATAAAAGCAAGTGAATAAGTAGTAGTCAATAACCTTCCCTTAGTGTGAGGGATGAAACTACAAAGTTAGGCCTTTAATCTGAACCTCCAAAGAAAGCCCGGTTCAGGCAGGTATATGTCTCTGCACCCTGAAAGCCTGACATGCCCATATATCTCACTATTTTTAGCGACAACATCCACTATTTTTACTGACAACATTTAACTTCAGCAGTTGATAAAAACCAAATGACTTCACACAACATTACCATTAGAGCACTTTATGCTACCATAAAAGAGGCGCTAATTACCACAGGAAGACAGGGACAGCTTTATATTTTTCTCTATAAATGACATAAAACATTGGAAGCTCTATAGTTAGCATGATTTCATCATGGGTTCTTTTTAGATTTAAATATAGACCATTTCCAAGCTCATTTTGCAAAGCTTGTGTCTGAAGAATCGTGAATGACCTATTTACACCATAAGCGTTTCTTTAAAATTGATAAAAGGAGTTTATTTCAGTCCCCAAACAAAAACGTTCACTTGTGCTAAATCATGAGAGAGCTTCTTATCCAAGCTTTCAATTTTCTACTTGATTCTTTATCACCAACAATGAAGCCCTCTTGCAAGTAGAAAGAATCTAAACATGGAACTTTCAATGGCAATCCTACCAAAAGTGTCTTCCTATTGTAGGTACTAAACCTAAATAGAAGAGGAGGAAAGAGTTTTATTTTACTGGATCACTACAAATTGTTGCCTTGAGATCATAGTACTTCTGGGATAGAATAAGATTAAGCGTTTTAAAGTATTTTTATTTGTCTATAGTTTAAAAATAAAAATTCTATGAGGCCCTTCACATAAGAATACTTTTAATAAGATCAGAAAGAAAACAAATGAACACCACATACATTACATGTATGTTTAGGGCAACACTGGATGAAATGCAATTACGTTAAACATGGACTAAATACAATCATACTTTAAATACAGTCTGTCATTTCTTCTGATGTTTAACTCTTCTAAGCACTCTCAAATCGATTTTTCTATTTCAAAGCCAAGCTACAACTTGTCAGGTTATATTTTATCACAGAGCTATGTTACCAGAGGTAGTCAGTGAATACTAGCACACCAATACTAGTACAAAAACAATTTTGTGTTGCATTGTGTAGAAGTTCAACAAATGCAACACAATTGCAAGTGAAAATATCTTCTCATAGGTTTCTAACAAATGAATACAATTCTGAGCTCAGAGTCATTAAGTACCCACTTACTATCATATGCAGTTGACACTTGAACATGGGTTTGAATTGCATGGGTTGACTTATACCCAGAATGTTTTTGATACAGTACAGTGCTGTAAATGTATTTTCCCTTCCTTATGTTTTTCTTAATAACATTTTCTTTTCTCTCACTTTATGGTAAGAATACAGTAGGGGTGCCTGGGTGGCTCAGGTGGTTAAGCGACTGCCTTCGGCTCAGGTCATGATCCCAGGGTCCTGGGATCGAGCCCTGCATCAGGCTCTCTGCTCAACAGGAAGCCTGCTTCTCCCTCTCCCACTCCCTCTGCTTCTGTTCCCTCTCTCGCTATCTCTCTCTCTGTCAATTAAATAAGTAAAATCTTTAAAAACAAAAAAAAGAATACAATATGTAATACATATATAAAATACACATTAATCAACTATTTATGTTATTGTATTGGTAAGGCTTCAAGTCAACAGTAGGATATTAGTAGTTAAGTTTTTGAGGAGTCAAAGCTATACATGGATTTTCTACTGCTCAGGAGGCCGAAGCCCCTAACCCTTATGTTGTTCAAAGATCAACTGTAATTAGTAATGACTGGCAGATCTTGACACTATTTCCTCACTCAAAGTCTGGGAGTAAAATAGGGAAAAAAAAGTAAAATAAAAGAGCCTGGGCTCTTTCCACAGTTTGGCTATTGTGGACATTGCTGCTATGAACATCGGGAATGTCCATCAACAGATGAATGGATAAAGAAGATGTGGTATATATATACAATGGAGTATTATGCAGCCATCAAAAGGAATGAGATCTTGCCATTTGCAATGACATGGATGGAACTGGAGGGTATTATGCTGAGCAAAATAAGTCAAACAGAGAAAGACATGTATCATATGACCTCACGGATATGAGGAATTCTTAATCTCAGGAAACAAACTGAGGGTTGCTGGAGTGGGGGGTGGGGTGGGAAGGATGGGGTGACTGGGTGATAGACACTGGGGAGGGTATGTGCTCTGGTAAGCGCTGTGAATTGTGCAAGACTGTTGAATCACAGATCTGTACCTCTGAAACAAATAATGCAATATATGTTAAGAAAAAAAAAAAAAGAAGAAGATAGCAGGAGGGGAAGAATGAAGGGGGGGAAATTGGAGGGGGAGATGAACCATGAGAGACGATGGACTCTGAAAAACAAACTGAGGGTTCTAGAGGGGAGGGGGGTGGGAGGATGGGTTAGCCTGGTAATGGGTATTGAGGAGGGCACATTCTGCATGGAGCACTGGGTGTTATGCACAAACAATGAATCATGGAACACTACATCTAAAACTAATGATGTAATGTATGGTGATTAACATAACAATAAAAAAGATTAAAAAAAAGAGCCTGGGCATTAAAAATTTAACTATTAGTTAAAATACTTAATAACAGTATTGTAAGGTATAATTTTTATAAAAGTATGCTGCCAAGCTGTAGTAGTCTTAGAAAGAAATGGGTGAGTACAGAAAATAGTCCTCCTATGTTTGTCTCATTAGAAAGAATCTACATGTTGCTATTTCAAAATTTATATCTCAGATCCTTTACACTAGTATTCCCTAAGGAAGTAAAATAGTGAAAAATAAGGAGTATTAGGCATTCATTAAATGCTGACTATGTGGCACTGTGTTTTTTGCTTGGAATTCAAATATGAAACACATTTTCCTTGCCTTTAAGGATAGTGTTTGGGAGTAAGCAGAAAAATAGACACATAATTCTAATCCAACATAGTAATTATTAAGTAGGTATGTAAAAAATGTACAAGAGCCTAAATACTTCCCTCTTAGAGCTTCCTATTTCATAACCGCTTATTTTTATTGCTTTAGAAGGTGTGCATATTACAACAAAGTTTATAATTTTCCTATGAATTATTTTTCTTTTTGCAAATCAGCCATGAGTTTTAAACAATATGTAGGGACAAATACCAAAAGGAATGTATCTGTATCCCATCTGGTAAAATTATATTGCCAACCTTTTCTATTTGACCTGGAGTTGAATAAAAATAGAATTAGCAGGTATTATACCCAGAGTTTTTTGGCTTGTGCACTCTATGCAACTAGCTGGAAAAATGAGTATGTAAAGGTAAAATCCAGCTCACATTCCACATGCAGATCCAGGCAACTTGGCTTTGGTTCTTGTCCATGAGCTTTATTAAATTCAGGTAAAGATTCCTTATGGACTAATGACATCCCTGAGTTTTAGGGCCTCCATTACTGGGCATGCTATAAGAAGTCTGCCTCCATAAAAATGTCCCAGTGCTTGCTTTGGCAGCACATACACAAAACTGGAATAATACAGAGAGATTGGCATGGTCCCTGTGCAAGAAGGACATGCAAAATTGTAGAAAATTCCATATTTTTATATCCCTTGTTCATGGACAAGAAGAAGTAATTTGTAAAAATGGCCATACTGCCCAAAGCCATCTACAGATTCAATAAATCTCCATCAAAATGTCAAAGGCATTCTTCACAGAAACGAAAAAAGAAATTCTAAAATTTGTATGGAACCAGAGAAGACCCTGAATAGTCAAAACAATCCTAACAAAAAAGAACAAAGCTGGAGGTATCACAGTTCCTGATTTCAAACTATATTACAAAGTCATAGTAATAAAAACAGTAAGGTCCTGGCACAAAAATAAACACACAGACTAAGAGAAAAGAACAGAAGCCTGGAATTAAACTCTAGCATATATGGTTAATTAATATGCACTAAGGGAGCCAATGAGGAAAGGATAATCTCCTCGACAAATGGTGCTGAGAAAACTGGAGAAACACATACAGAATAATGAAATTGGACCCCTATCTCACACCGCTCACAAACATTAACTTGAGATGGATCAAAAATATAAACATAAGAATTGATACCATAAAACTCCTAGGAGAAAACATAAGAAAGAAGCTCATCAGTATTGGTCTTGGCAATGATTTTTTTTTTGGTTATGATGCCAAAAGTACAAACAATGAAAGCAAAAGTCAACAAATGGGAATACACCAAACTCAAAAACTTCTGCACAGAAAAAGAAACAAAATGAAAAGACAATCTACAGAATAGAAGAAAAATTTCCCAAATGATATATGGGATAAGGGGTTAATGTCCAAAATATATAGCAAATGTACAGAACTTAATGATAAAAAGTATCTGATTTAAAAATTGGCAGAAGTGGGCGCCTGGGTGGCTCAGGCGTTAAGCGTCTGCCTTCGGCTCAGGTCGTGATCCCAGGGTCCTGGGATCAAGCCCCGCATCGGGCTCCCTGCTCCGCGGGAAGCCTGTTCTCCCTCTCCCACTCCCCCTGCTTGTGTTCTCTCTCTCGCTGTGTCTCTCTCTGTCAAATAAATAAAATCTTTAAAAAAAATAAATAAATAAATAAAAATTGGCAGAAGAACCAAAACATTTTTCCAAAGAGGACATCAAAAAGTTCAACAGGCACATGAACCGATGCCCAGCATCACCAGGGAAATGCCAATCAAAACCACAATGAGATTTTCACCTCATACCTGTTAGACGGTCTATCATCAAGAGGTCAAGAACAACAGGTGCTGGTGAGGATATGGTGAAAAGGAACCCTTATATGCTGTTTGTGGGAATGTAAATTGATCTAAACACCATGGAAAACAACATGCACATTCTTTAAAAAATTAAAAATATGGGTCTACCATATGATCTGGCAAATCCACTTTTGGGTATATACCCAAAGAAAATGAAAATAGAATTTCAAAGAGATATATGTACTCCCATGTTTATCACAGCATTACTCACAGTAACTGAGAAATGGAAACAACATACCAATGCATCAAAAACATACGGTGTGCATGTGTATAACATATATATAATATTACTCAGCCATGAGAAAGGTGGGTATCTTGCCATTTGCCACAACATGATTGGGACTTGAGGACATTATGCTAAGCTAGGTACGTCAGACAGAGAAAGGGAAGTACTATGTGATATCACTTATACATGGAATCAGAAAAAAATCAAACCTGTAAAAAAATAGAGGGTAAAATGGCAGATACCAGAAGATGGGGGCTAGGGAGATAAGACTGATAGTGTTTAAAGGTATAAACTTGTAATGAGTAGTAAATAAGCTATAGAGACATAACGTACAGTATAATGAATGTAGACAATACTATTATACTATAATTATGTAATGTGAGAAATAATACCACAATGCCAATCATATTATTATAATAAATCGAAGTAGCATACCGTATACCTTAAATTCACACAATGTTACACGTGACATCCATTCAATAAAAAAAGACACATATATTAACAAAACAGAGTGCCCAAAAATAAACCCACACATATATGGTCAATTAACTTGTGGAAAAGGAGACAAAAAAATACAATGGGAAAAGGACACTCTCTTCAATAAATGGTGTTGAGAAAACTGGACACTTATCTTACACCATACACATAAACATCAACTGAAACTGGATTAAAGGCTTTACATATCTACCTAGCATAATTAGACTTCATATCACACCACTTCATGCAAACTGTAGGAATCACAAACAGTGTAATTCTTTCATACTCTAACACAAACTGTATGCAAAATACCTTCTCCTGATTTCCTTGGTATGATCAGACATACTGGAAGGCTTAAAAATTAAGTGCAGATAAGAGAATTGTTAGACAGTGGCTTGCTTTAAAACTACCCTGCCCCAGAGTATGAAGACCCTGTTCTACGATGGACAGTCTTAAGATAGTCAAACACTGGACTCAAAGATTGGCAGGCCCCCAGAAGCAACTTCTCTGGATTTCTTATTTCCCTTCCTTCTCTTCGCTGGCCTCTTCCCACAGGACACTATTTCATATTCCAACATCAAGGTATCCTTGTTGTATTAATAAAAATGCTCTGAAGCCTCAAGAAGATCAAGAAATACAAATATTCTACCAAGGGCTTCCCTGATCTCCAGTTTCTAATGTGAGAAATGCTCCCAGTTCTCCCCAGCACCTTGAGGTGACTGTGGTAGTGATGGACCTTCTTAACCTTCTGAAGAGACTTATCACAGGGGCTTGACCTTGCCAGTCCCACAGGAATTGCTTTCATCTGTATCAGGGGATTCAGGAAGAATATAATTCATAAGGTTTTCCTCAGAATCCAACTCTGAATGGAACTAATTATGGAAAACCTAAACTGTCCGTGGATTTTTTAGAAAGCAAATACTCTTAAGAATCTTTCTCACCAGGGCGCCTGGGTGGCTCAGTTGGTTAAGCATCTGCCTTGGGCTCAGGTCATGATCCCAGGGTTCTGGGATCCAGCTCAGCATCGGGCTCCCTGCTCAATGGGGAGCCTGCTTCTCCCTCTCCCGCTCCCCTGCTTGGGTTCTCTCTCTCTCACTCTGTCAGATGAATGAATAAAATCTTAAAAAAAAAAAAAAAAGAATCTTTCTCACCAAAATCTAGAAATATCTTTAGAACAGTCTCAGCTCTTTGTGTTACTGGCCCATTCTCTGAGCTCCAGCCCTGACCTGTTTGCTAATCCTCCCTAGGCTCTTCCTCAGGACACAGTCTGATCTCGTATTTCCCTGAGAAACTGATTTTTTTTCCCTTTTTTTCATTTATTTATTAGAAAGAGAGCACAAACAGGCGGAGAGGCAGGCAGAAGGAGAAGCAAGCTCCCTGCTGAGCAGGGAGCCTGACACAAAACTGGATCCTAGGATCCTGGTTGGTTGGTTTTTCAACAATATCATCAGCTTAACCAAAACCAATCTGTGAACAATAGAATGCAACACTCAAAAGGCTAATCCATGGGGTTAGAGAGCATTGTGTAATGAGTCCTGGGAACAATCATAGGTAAATATTGGAAAGTAAGTAGTTTTAGGCAGTGAGATTGCTTTGAGATGAGTACAGAATTGTTAACCAGGTGGGGATTCAGTTTCAAGCAACTCAACTTTAATACTTAGGGTAAGGAATGTGGCATGATATAACAAAATGTGCAACCATGATGAATGATACATTAGTAAAAGGTAAAAGTAAAATAAAATAGTGATTTTAATTAATTTGAACAGAGCTCAGTGATTACTATTTAAATAAACACTCACAGAACGAACACAATTTATAAGAAAATATATTGAGAGTATATTCTCAATATATATCTTTGTTCATAAAGATATATAGAAAGAACAAAGAAATAAAAACATATATTCCCACAGAAACTAAGAGAGATGCTATCTTTGTCAAATGTTTACCTTCTAAAGAGCTAGTTCTCAGGTCCTTGAAAAATCCATTTCTGGACTATGAAGCTGAAAAGAAGCTTATTTTGTTTCTGGAAAAATATATATACATTTCCAAGAGACAGAGAAAGAACTTACAATTATAGGTTTTTAAAGTAAATGCTCTAAGAAAAGGGACGGGAGAGAAGTCCCTCCCCTTCTTTTCTTTCTTTTTGTTTTTTAGAGAAGGGGAGGGGCAGAGGGAAAGAAAGAGAGAGAATCCTAAGCAGACTGCACACAGGGCTTGATCTCACAACCATAAATGATAGCCAGAACCAAAATCAATATTTGGACGCTTAAGAGATTGAGCCACCCAGGTGTCCCTCCCCTTATTTTCAAAAAGAAAAACTAACCCTTTTATTTTTAATCTGTATTTGCCATTACACTACCAAGTCCTATTGAAGTTTTAAGGCTCCTCAAACAACATAAAATCACTGCTCTTAAGGAATTCACATTGCTTCAGAGTAATGTGTTAATCTGATTACTGTGTTCTTTCTTTGAGACCATAACCCACTAAAATGTTAGTAGAAACTGGCTAATATGAATGCAGTGGATATGGTAGGGCATTCAACACCCTTTTCAATTTCCTTTAGTATACCTTCCTGTACTAAAGAATCTATAAGGCTAAAAACTAATTGCACACTCACTTGCAGCTACACTTAGAAGGCAGAAATGAAGCAGAGACCATCTTCTCTCTTTGGTGGTTGCTGCTCACAAGTGACATTACAGAGACAGTAGAGTGGTCTGTAATGACACAAAGTTGTCTATGTGTGGGTATTATGAGTTTCAAGAGGCAGATGCAGTGGAGGGGGCAGGGCTGGGAGTTGAGATTTCCTATCCTAGATGGAAACAAGGACAGTGAGTTCTGGGATCTAACAATTTCCAAAGTAATACCTGGATTCTCCACCTTAACAGAAGCAGCATTTTACCTTAAGCATCAGTTCATTGATCTTGTTCAAAAAGACATTCCTATGGGACTCCTGGGTGGCTCAGCCAGTTAAGTGTCTGCCTTTGGCTCAGGTCATGATCCCAGGGTCCTGGAATGGAGCCCCGGGCTTCCTGCTCAGCGGGGAGCCTGTTTCTCCCTCTCTCCCTATTGTTCCCCCTCCTTGTGCTCTCTGTGTCAAATAAATAAATAAAAT